TGATCCACAAGTTAACTGAAGAATTTCCATATTAGAATGTAACACAGATCACATATAAGCAAGACACGAATGAAAATTTTCAGGTTATAGGTAAAGTCATAAAAATTTTTATACAAATATAGATTAAAGTAGTACAAAACAATGGATTAATACCAAAAGTTTTCGATTATTTAATTATTAAATATTAATTTTTTTTTTTGGCAAACTTTACCTTGCGTGAACGTGGTATTTTCTATGTTCGACTATATTAATTAAATCTAGAAAGTATTAATACTATACTTTGTTTTTAACTAATTTTATAACAAAATTTTAATTATTCTTTTAACTTTTAAGCTTTTAAGGTATATTACACTGCAGCGTATTGCACAAGTATAAAATCTAAGGGAAAATTCGAATAGTTCTCTAGTTGGGTATTAGTATTAATCTGATTTATGGTTTAATACTTCTATGATTGGTTTTAATGTAGTTAATTTTTTTTTTTTAACTTTGCTTACTACCCAAATCCTAAACAAAAACAAATCGCTCTAGCACAATTCAAATCTAAATCCTGACTATAATATAGTTGGCCCAACTTCTGATCCTAAATTCTTAACACTATTTAAAATTTTAATACCCAGATCTCTATATCAATATGTTTATAATCTATACAGTTTAGAAAGTGCAATGGAGAGATTAACCAAGAGGTAGAGTTAAGTCTGAAGGCTTGGTTAGAACAGTGGACGGTTAATTGCCTTGTAAAGATGATAATTGGCTTGGGGGCCACTCTTTTAAGCCAATTAACAATTCATAAGAGTAACATAAAATAGTGGGCCCTAAACATAAAATGTTATATACATAGTATATAAAAACATATTTCAGATTTAAATAAATCACTAGGAATTGAACCAAATGATACAGATGCATTAAGAAATTATGGAGAAACTTATCGCTTAATAGGCAGATATAAAGAATCAGAAATAAGTCATTAGAAATTGGACCAAGCAATGCATTTGTGTTAAGAAAAGCTTATAGCTTAGACAGATATGAGAAATTACTTGTATTAAATAAATTGAATCAAATGATGCATAGGTATTAAGAAATTGTGGAGCAATTTATCTTATAATAGGTAAATATAAAGAGTCATTTGCAGATTTAAAATAAATTATTAGAAATTGATGCAAAATCTCGTACAATTTATTTCATAATAAGCAGTATAAAGAATCACTTGTAGATTTAATAAATGATTAGAAATTGAACTAAACAATACATAGTATTAATAGTTACTTATCGCAGGTATGAAGAACTATTTGCTGATTTAAATAAATTATTGGAAATTAAACTAAATAATGTATTTGCATTAAAAGGTCATGGTGCAATTTATTTATAATAGATAGATCGCATGATAAACAGGTATGGAGAACTATTTGCAGATTTAAATACTTATTAGAAATTGATCCAAATAATGTATTTGCATTAAAAGACCATGATACAATTTAGTTTATGATAAGCTGAGATGATGAATTACTTGCGAATTTAAATTGAACCAAATGATACATGGGGCATTAAGAGTTCGTGAAGGAACTTATCGCATAATGAGCAGATATGGAGAACTATTTGCGAATTTAAATAAATCATTAGAAATTGAGCCAAATAATACATGGATATTAAAAGTTCGTGGAGAAACTTATCGCATAATGAACAGGTATGTTGTGGATTTAAATAAACCGTTAGAAATTGAACCAAATGATGGTGGTCATTAAGAGTTCATGGAGAAACTTATTGCATGATGAACAGGTATAGTAAACTATTTGCGGATTTAAATCTTATTGGAAATTGATCTAAATGATGAATTTGCATTAAAAGATCATGGTGCGATTTAGTTTATGATAAGCACAAATATAAAGAATCACTTGCAGTTTAAATCATTAAAAATTGAACCAAATGATGCATGGGGCATTAAGAGTTCGTGAAGAAACCTATCACATAATGAACAAGTATGGAGAACTATCTGCGAATTTAAATAAATCATCAGAAATTGAGCCAAATAATACATGAGTATTAAAAGTTCATGAAAAAACTTATCACATGATGAACAGGTATGTTGCGGATTTAAATAAAACATTAAAAATTAAACCAAATGATGGTGGTCATTAAGAGCTTGTAGAGAAACTTATCGCATGATGAACAGGTATAGTGAACTATTTGCAGATTTAAATCTTATTAGAAATTGATCTAAATAATATATTTGCATTAAAAGGTCATAGTGCAATTTAGTTCATGATAAGCACAGATATGAAGAATTACTTGTAGATTTAAGTCATTAAGAATTGAACCAAATAATGTATGGGATATTAAGAGTTCACGAAAAAACTTATCGCATGATGAACAGATATCTGTGGATTTAAATAAATTATTAGAAATTGAACCAAATAATACATAGCCATTAAAAATCGTGAACTTATTGCATGAAGAAATATAAACACTTGCCGGTTTAAATAAATTATCATATTAGAAATTGACCAAATTATATATCTACATGGCACATCATAAGCAGGTATGAAGAATTACTTACCGATTTTAATTTATTCTCTTGATTTCGAACTTTATTTACTGATTTTTAGTTTTATGATTTTTATGTAAATAAACGATTTGAAAAGTGGTATTGTAAGTATTGGTAATAAGAATTTACTTTGCACTGTTTGTATATTAATATAATTTTGATCAAATTTGGAAATCTGCACATCTATACAGTCACTTGAACAATTACTTGATTGTTGTCCGGTTGCGCAATTATTAAAATCAAAAAACACACTTTACAATCATGATTGTATGAGTGCATAGTGATCTAAAAATTTGATCAAAGTTTCATCAATATGCAAACAGTGATAATTCTATCAACTAATAATTTTTTTTATATCACAAGTAGGGTTGCCGGCCATAAGTCCTTATAATGTGTAATAGCTTCTTTTGAAAGTACTTATATATTTGTGTGCTTGTATAAGCAAGCCAATCAGAATACTTCTAGCACAGATGGGCACATTGTAACAGTAAGAGCTAATTTGATTGAAGAGTTTTATGCAATGGTAATAAGTATAAACGATATAGAATTGGAATTAGCTAACAATAAGATTGGGTTAGAATTAGTGGTTAGTTAAAGATAGAATTGAGATTTTTTTAAACATAGAATTTGGTTTTTGGTAAATTAGTTTCAATTAGAAATTAAAAGTGTATAATATAGGCTAAAGTATGCAAAAAAAGACAAATAAATATATATATAACTGAAATTAAATAAATATACTTTTTTCTTTATTAGTTAAATTTTTATTATTGGAATTGAATATATATTTTTAAAATAATTTTAAATTATTTATTAGATTATTTATATACAGTACATTTATATATTTTAAACTAGTGGGTAGGCTAAATTAAATTAGATTGCTTTAAACTAGCAGTAAGTAAACTAAGTAGAGATGTTACTATATGTAGTCACCTTAAATCAATAGATCATATTTAGTTTTAAGACCAATCTGAACCTAGTCTGCAGTTAGTTTTAAGACTAGACTGGTCTGGATTAGTCTAGTTTAATTAACTCTTTAGACTATACAGTAAACTATAACAAATTAGATTAAAGCCAAACCAAAATAAAACAGACCAGGCCATTAATATTCCTAAGACTAAGCTAATTCTAATAGGTTTTTAATTAGCGAGTAAGTTTTAAATCAGAGTTTTGAAATAGCATGTGGCTTTTAGCAAGTTCTAATTTGCAATTGTATATACAGTACATGCTACTTTCGCTATAGTGAAGTAACCAGGCTAAAAATTTTTGTAAGTTATTAAAAAGGTATATATATATACATAGTACATACATACTACCAGATACAGTATTTTACTGTACGTATATATATATATATACATAAAAATTTTCACATTTCTAAATAAAGTATTTTATTAATTAATTTCCGTCATATTTACTTAGTAATTGCAGATCATTTTCTTTCGGTGACTCACAGATTATCAATTAAATAAGTAACCTAAATCTCTAATTTTTTAAAATAAATATACTATATATACTATGTATAAAAGCTATTATAATATATACTGTATATATATTGAAATTAATAAAAAAAAAAAAAACTTTGCTTTCAAAAAAAAAATGCTAATATTCTTTTTTTACTATATATTTCAAACCTTATTAACTAATTAATCAAAATTTTAAATATACTGTATATACTATGTATAAAAGCTATAATATAATATATACTGTATATATATTGAAATTAATAAAAAAAAAAAAAAAACTTTGCTTTCAAAAAAAAAATGCTAATATTCTTTTTTTCAAACCTTATTAACCAATTAATCAAAATATAAACATACTGTATATATACTGTATATACAGTTTAGACATATTAATTTTGGTTTATTATATAAATTATTATGATAATTTATATCTAAAAAATATCAACACTACTATTCTGCACCTGTGTTCAACACCATAGGTCTCTATTTCTCAAAAATGTGCTAAGTAAACGGGATCGGGTACTCTAAGTAAAAATGTTTAGAACCCCAAAAAACCTCACAAGAACTGAGATCAGAACCTTATATTAGCTCTATATTACATTATATAAAAAAATAACAATTCCTAATACCCGAACCCTAACCCTAAATTTTATTAAAAACAATATATATGGTGCTAAACACCATAGGTGCATTTTATATTATTTGAAAAACATATATAACAAATAATATAATAATACTATATATATATATTAAAAGCTAATATTTGTGCGTCAAATAATTGATTATTTTCGATAATTTATTTTTTTATTTTTATTTTATTTTATTTTTTTTTTTGTAAATTTATTAGGCACTATATTAGTATTAAACACAGTATATATATACTTTATTTTTTTTTCAAATAAAATTTTTGGGAATAGTCCTGAAAGATTATGATAAAAACTGTAATAACTAATAGTCTTTCCTACCCGCATCGAAATGCAAACATTTTATTTACAAAAACGCTTTCATTGCTGTTGTGTGGCTTGTTGTGATGATTGCGTAACTTGCGATTGAGGAGTCGGTTGTTGCGGAGGTTGAGATGGCGATTGTTGTCCGAGTTGTTGTGATGGAAGAGACTGACTTGGGAGTCCTGGTGTATGAGTACTCTGCTGCAACATAGCTTGTGCAGCGCGATGTGCTTGTTGAGCCCGAAGCTGCTGACTATAAAAGTGTTGTTGTACGTGAATCGGCGCTTGAGCTATAACAGCAGCCTGTGTTATCGGTTGAGTAGGCATACGTTGTTGTTGTGCAATAGCAGCACGTTGTTGTTGCATGACCAGAGCTTGAATTTGATTTGCACTAGGAACATGCGGTCTATAAGACATTCCTGTAGGAGCCTGTGGTCGCATTATCATAGGCTACAATAATAAATAAGAAATGTAAAATATGATAATTATTATGTAGAAAATAATATATTTTTTCAAAATTCAATGTGATTGAAGGATATCTATGACCGATGTAAAAGTACAAGTGCTAAATAAGAAAATAGGATTATAAATATCGTACCCGTACATGTGCTTGATATGCAAGTGCTGCAGCTTGTCGTTGCTCTAATAAAGCTGCTTGTGCTTGACGTTCGTGCTCTGATTTTATTCTACTTAATTCAATCGGAGACAGAACTTTATTCCCGAATGGAATAGATTGATCTATAGTTTTCTTAATTTGCCCTGAACATTAAAAACATAGAATTAAATAAGCATGTTTAAATATATATATATATATTATTTAGTTTATTACCTTGTTTCATAGCCGCATCCTGTCGTTTCTTCGCCGATTTCCTCATCGCTTCCATCAAGTTGGAATTTCGACGTGGCTTCATAACTTCCTGCCTTTGTATTTTTTTTGGTAAATCTCTTTTAGGCCTATTCGATATTATGGAAGGACCAGCTATCGATGATGTTTCATCATTGGCATCAGGAGTCAATATACTATTCGAGTCTTCGGTCCATTCTTGATATTCAAACTGAGACATATCATCTTTTTGTGTCCAACGATTAAAACAAGCCCATGGAGTCCTTGGATAACCAGTAAGAATACCGCGAATGGAATTCCATGTGTCAGCAATCAAGTCCCAATTATATTGATATTGCTTCGTTAGAGACATCAACAACTCATCATCTTCTGGATACCATGCGTAAGATGGTTCTTGATCCGGCCGTGGGGCTTTGACATGAATTTTGGGCTGTTGATCATAAGGCTGTCTTGGTGCAAACACTATACGAATAGTAATCACGTTAGACAGCCTCAATCACGATTCTTGAAACTAAAATGCACAACTTACACATGGAACTAGTCGTCTTGTCAACAATTTCTATACAATCATTTTCTGTTCTCATTTTTTTAATAGCTCTTCTTCTTGCAGCTTTCTCTTCATAATTCATTTATTTATTCATTTTATAAAGCAAAAAAAAAAAAAAACTATTTTTTTTAGTTTACAGTTATTTGATAAGTAACCTTAATAATTATTGAGCTATAAAATCCTTACCACTCTTTTGCCGACGCAACATGTACTTCGAAATTGGTATGACGCGATTAATGTGTATATTGTCATAGTAAACATCTTTGTCAGAAGGCCTTTGAGGTGGTTCATATGAAGGTAAATCTGGAAATATCGAATCCACATCATAAACTTGACCATCTGGCCCATCTAAACAACATAAGAATGCATCTGCCGGTAAGTTGATAACTTTTTGCCGTAAAGTCAACAAAACGCTAGGCGCTATCGGGGGTGGCATTATTATAGAATCGTTGCTTTTTATATTCGTTTGGTTAACATCAGGCCTTGTTGACGCGTCATCATCGACCGACTCGACATCAATCATTACTTCATCATTTATTGGAAGATCATTCAGATCTTGTACTCCGTCATCCGGCTCGGACTTTACGTGATTTATTTCACCATCAGACGTGGCTATGAAGAATTTGAGTTCGCGTTATGCTATATATAGGTGGATAAAAAGAAGCACACATGAAATTTAATAAAGTACAAATACTGCTCGAGGATGCTTCCTCGTGACTTTCATGTACATTAATTTGATGTACGGGAGTATTTCTACCAGGAATTCGACTCTAATAAAAGAGTAATTAATGCGATCAATTGACTTCGAACAAAGTCCAGAAAATCATATATTAATTAATCATAATCACGAATTCCATACATTAACGCATACATCTGCTTTATTTTCAGCTTGAAACCACGCTTTCACCCAACGACTCACATGGAATGCTGCAGCAATTTTCCACTTTCGTTCTTTTTTAAAGTCTTTTTGCATCCACGACTGAAAATTTTTCATTGAATTCAACACAATTCAATTAAAAATAAATAATAAACCTAACTTTATCGAAGGCATTTTATTCACACAAATCGCGTACCATTTCATCAAGTAAATAATCCCAATGAGTATAATTTCTCGGTGGATCCCTAAATGACTCGATTTGCTGAAAGCTCCACATTCCATTATGTTTTAACTGATCAATGCGTTCTAAAACTCTAATATTTTTAACCTCTTCACGTGCAATCTTTGAAAATTTTAAATTCGATATAAGGCTTATGTAAAATTGAAATGTTTGAAGGTAAGATGTGTTATATTTTTTACCGTCCAATTTTCAGTTATTAAGGCTTTCTTTGGATTCTGAAGTAATTTGTATAATGGCTGATTATTATAATTAGAAATAAGTGTTTCCCGATCAAATGATCGAGATTGATTGTGCTCCAATCCTCGGCCCATCGATGCAGCAACCATTGGTCTCGCTTCTCCGTTCCTAGGCAAAACAGTAGAAACTCGCTGGGGTGCTTGTTTTCTTTGCGGAATAGTAAGTTTGGTTGTGGGAAGTTTAAAACTAGTTGCCGTCGTTGGCGAAGTTGAGGTAACGGAAGAACCAATGGAAGAGTGTCTCTGCCGTAGTTTGAAAAAAAGAGCGGTGGTGGTGATACGTTTGATAGTATAGAAATTGTTTGTCGAAAGAAATTCACACACATACCTCCGCGTCCTTTAGAATCTCGTCGACACTTTTTGGATTAATCGCACCACTAGCAGCGCGAGTTATCATACGTTCAACAGGAGGCAGTGAAACTCGTTTTTGCTTCTTCACTTGTGTTGTCTGGTCGCCTTGGTTTTGTGACTGAATATTCGATTGATATGTTTGTGACGCTTGAGATTTGTTTGTTAAAAATGTGGCACTTTGACTAGCAGTTTTGAAAACAGGTTGTGCGCTATATAAAGCGAGAAGTTTTCGGCGAACGTGACGAAAGATAATTGTTTAAAGTTTTATAGTTATTTAGTATCTTACGAATCACGTTTGATAGCTCATGATCATTACTAAGCCACCCAAAGTTTCCCACCACTGTTATACAAAAAAAGTAGCCAATGACAACCAACCTTTTCACTGTATCCATATTTTCAGGTAGTTGGTGTTTGTGCAAAAATTCTTGCAATTTTGTTTGATCGACTTTGGAAACGTCTATCTCTGTCATGTAATCAGATTTATCAGATTTACTTATCATATAGAACAACTCCTTCAATGCGGATTCGCGGCTATCGAGTATTTCTCTAACGATGTATCAAATTTACAGCAAGATCACGATTAAAACCAAATGTTGCTGTACAAAGATAATAGAAAATTTACGCTAATTAGCAAGAGTTACTTGTATTCTTGTTTTCTGCGCTCTTCGGCCTTTTTTCTGAGTTCTTGTATGTTTGACTGTAAATGAATAAATACGAACATGAATTAGTATTTCTACTGCGTGTAGCACGTGATACATATTTAAGCCACCTGGCTTCTTGCAACAGGCTCAACGCTATCTTCAAGAAAGTCCAAGAAACCAAAACAACTATAAAAAAAAAGTATGAGTTGACCATTCTTGAAGGTGGCGAGAGTATTACTTAAGACACTGGAAAGGTTCCAAGGTCAAATCGACCTCCTTAAAGCAAGTAATTACAAGCTTTTGAATCAAGTAAAGATTCAAAGATTTAAACTTACCGTTAAAGAATCATCACCAGATACATTAGTGTCCTTCCCCTTTGAAGAGTGTGAAGCATCTGTGTCCATAGTAACTTATGCAAAAGTATAGGTTAAGAGATTTAGGGCAGGATAGCCCTTGAAGGTCATTACAATAACGAAGGAAGAATTTTTGGCTGTTTGGAGTTTTTTTTTTATTGGCTTTTTTTTTTTTAGCTTCAGGTTTTGATTAATAATAAGTGTAGATTCTATACAAACAAGGTGACGTAGCAGGCAGTTGAAGGTTTTTGATATAAAAACTATTTTCAGTGCCGGTGCGAATTTTTCATCAGAAGGGAACTGCGGCTTATGAGTTCTTACGAATGCATAGCAGGGAGTGTAGAATATATTTGAAAATCATTGTTAAACTGTTGTTTGATTGGTACAGTGCGACCACCCTAAAAATTTTGTTAAAATAAAAAAATAATCACGTTTTTTTTTATTGAAAACATTTATGGTATGCAGTATATCGTATACGTATACGTACGTACGTACAGTACGTATAAATTAGTTATACCGGGTAACGGTTTAATGTCTGGATAGTAATTACTATGTTTTATAAGGTTATTTTCAAAACCAATATTACAGAACCATTTTTAAAATTTTCTAAAAGATTAAAGCGAAGTTAAATTTAGTTAGAGTTAGGGTTACTTTTTTATATTTAGCAATTTATTGCTAATAAATTTTTTAGAAAAGTCTGCAAGTTTTTTAAATATATAAGAATTTTTTAGATATTTAGAAATTTTAAAGATTAAAAAAAAGTGAAATTTTAAAACAACTTAATAAATGTTCTAATACAAAGGTTTTGAAAATAGAATCAATATTTTAATATATCTATATCATTTATTATAAAACGCACCTATGGTGGTTTTGCACCTATTATGTTTTATTATGTTTTCGATTTTTCTAAGTTTTGAATATAAAAATTTTCAACACAAAATTTTTATGTTAGTGCTGGTATTTAGAGTTAGGGTTAGGATTTGGGAGAAGTTTTTAGGGGCGTAGAGCATTTTTACTTGCACTGATCGATTAGCCAGTTTTTGAGATAATATGGGCAGCCGTCAATAGAAACCAACATTTGAAAAAAAACCAATGCCTTAACTTTCACAGCTCATATCTCGATGAATTTTAAAGCTATCTTGATGGCATAATATTCAAAAGAAAGCTTAGATCATAAGCTTTCTTTTGAATATAAATCATTAAGATAGCTTTAAATTTCATCGAGATATGAACTGTGAAAGTTAAGGCATTGGTTTTTTTTCAAATGTAGATTTGCTTGATTTCTATTGACGGCTGCCCATATATACATAGGTGTAAAACACGTTTTAGTAAAAGTCTATATATATATATAGGCAGCCGTCAATAGAAATCAAGCAAATTTATATTTGAAAAAAATTAATGCCTTAACTTTCACAGCTTATATCTCGATGAATTTTAAAGCTTTAATATTCAAAAGAACACTTAGACCATAAGCTTTCTTTTGAATATTAAATCATCAAGATAGCTTTAAAATTGATCGAGATATTGGCTATGAAAGTTAAGGCATTAATTTTTTTTCAAATGTAGATTTGCTTGATTTCTATTGACAGCTGCCCATATATATGAGTGTCGCCAAAAGAAAACCCAACAATTTAAATATAGTCTATATTTAAATTGTCAGGTTTTCTTTTGGCG